CCACGGCACGCGGGACATGTTAAATCTCCATTTGATCTCCTTTGTGGCTAGATAGTGAAAGAGGTTCTCGTCTATTTGTAGGGTCGATAACCATTTTTTCATCGCTTAGAAGGTCTTGGCGTTGTCACTGACTATGAGATCTGGCGCGCCTCGTCGTACAACGAACTCTTTTAGGCCTCGTTTGAACTCTTCGGCTGTCATGTCCTTACAAAGTTTCAGATGTACAGCCCAACATGTCTAAAATCAATCATGTTGTATCACGTGATGAGGGGGAGGGAATTTATAAAAAGGAAGATTTTTACTACAAGCAGGGCGTTGTGGTTCATCTTACTTTAGCTCTGTTCGAGACTGATACTCTCGATACAACATCTAGCGACGAGGATGTAAAAATTCAGGAATCCCATCGTCAATATTCACACCAATACTGGCTTTCATTGGGGAGTTCGCTGTGTAAATTTTTCTTGAAAGCACGTTTGCTGTTTGCGACGCGCTCAACTCTTTGAGACCTCCTGGCGGTTTCGCTACCAAGTTTTCCACCGTTCGACGTCCATGCCGATGGCAGTGCAGGTCCACCGTTTAATGGCCATGAATTTAAGAATTTTTCTGACTACCTAGGATTCAAGCACATACGGATCACCCCGTATTGGCCAAGAGCAAATGGAGAAGCAGAACGACTGGTTCAGACCCTCCAAAAGTCTATCAGAATTGCTCACCTAGAAGGCAAAACTGGAAGCAAGAGTTGTACAAGTTCTTACGGCAATATCGAGCAACACCTCACTACACCATCACTGTGTCTCCAAGTGAAGTCCTAAACAGCAGAAAACTCAAGACCACAATATCAAAGTTACCAATCACCCAACACAAGCTGCCACGATGTACACTTCAAGATCCATCAGCTAGCATCGCCCAGAGAGAAGCTCTGCAAAAGCAGAAAATGAAGGTCTATGCTGACCTCAAAGCGCATGCTCAGGAACGAGAGATTAAACCAGGAGAAGTTGTACTCAGACAACCCAAACAGAACAAGCTCAGCACTCCATACAATCCAAAACTATTTATCGTGGAGGAACAGAAAGGTACCATGGTCACAGCGAGTAATGGTTCACGGACTGTTACGAGGAATTCATCGCAGTTCAAAGTTACTCCGAAACATCTTGCACCCTGCCAAGAGAATGGTGGAAGGAGAGATGAAGAAAAGACACAATATCCATCCGAAATGAAAGCTGACGCCTTGCCGAGACGGGCGAAACGACAAATAAAACCTCCTGTCAGGTTTTCAGACTATGTACAAATCATCTATGAGAAATAGGTTGGAAACGGATCCATGTTTTCTGATTCTCTGAGAACGTTGACATTATATGAAATGTTTGAAGGAAAAGAGATCTCAGTTTAAATTCAGTTTGAATGTTGATCATTGAACTTTGATTACTGAACCTTTTTTAAATACGAAAGCAAGAAGAGCCAATGATATTATCTTAAAGGAAAAGGACAGAATTATTACTGACAAAAAGAAAATTGCCGAGTTATTTAACGAACACTTTGTACACATCGCTGGTAATGTACCTTTGAGAGAGGAGGAGGATTATGGCAATGATTTTGCAAATCATCTGAGTATCAAAGTAATCTTTGAAAACAGGGGCAAAGACGAACCCGCTTGCTTCAGTTTTCATCGCACAAGCAAATCTCAGGTTGAAAGCTTATTGAAAGAGATCAATGTACGTAAATCTGCCTTTAAAAGCACACACAAATTTTGCCTTTAAAAGGACACACAACCCACAATTCCTCTATTCGCTCCGATGAAGGGCTAACGCTCAAAACGTCAGCTTTTGTAATCGTTACGGTGGCCAATTTACCATTTCAACTTTGTTGATATATCTAAATGTACGTAAATCGATCACGATATGATCCCACCACGGCTGTTCAAACACGCTGCATCTGTTATTGCTGAGCCTCTCACAAACATTTTTAACCATTCTATTGAAAACTGCTCTTATTCTGCAAATTGGGAGATGGGCACTGTGATTCCCTTGTTCAAAAAGACGACAAGTTTTGTAAGGTTAACTATAGGCTTGTAACTGTGCTCCCCGTTTTGAACAATATTTTTGAAAGGCTTTTTAGCAGGGCAGATGCATGAATTCTATCCCGAAATGCTTTCAGATTTCATTAGCGCTTACAGGAAGCTTCATAGTTGTGAGACCTCATTGCTAAGGCTGACGGAAGATTGGAGGATGATGCGCGACAGAGGTGAGCTCGTTGCGGTGGTCTCTATGGACCTCTCCAAAGCGTTTGACGTTATTCAGTATCCACTCCTTCTTTCCAAGCTCAAGGCCTACGGTATGGATGACAAGAGTGGCGCTCTACTCAGGAACTATCTCTCTGGTAGATCTCAGAGAGTCAAGATAGGCGGCACCTTCTCCACCTGGAAAAGCGTTGAACGTGGGGTCCCGCAGGGGAGTGTGTTAGGTCTAATGCTATTTANGGACATTGTTTTTGTTGAGAATTTTAGGACGTTTATCACTTAAAATGCAGTTAGTCACCCTGTGTTCTTTTCATCCGAAAAAAAGAGGGATGTAATGTCATAAATCAATCATGCTGGATCACGTGATGAGGGGAAGGGAATTTATAAAAAGTAAGGTTTTTACTACAAGCAGGGCGTTGTGGTTCATCTTACTTTAGCTCTGTTCGAGACTGATACTCTCGATACTACACCTGGCAGAAAAAAAATCACTTCCTAACAAGTAATGAACTGTTAATCTTTATTCGGATCTGATTTTTTTTTGAAGACTGACTACTAGGGACAAATTCTAGAGGCAATATATTAATTCGAACTACATTCGTAACGGCTATGTAAATGCCACAGGAACCCATTACCATAGAAACCCGAAACCACAGATATTTAAGATGGTAAGCCTGTGGTTCATGTTTGGATATTTGTTACAGTAAATTATCATTGTTGAGAGAAACCCTATGCTCGAACAGTCGTCGGTGAGTTTTCTTTGTATTTGTGTATATTATAATTTGTTTGTTCTAAGCGTATTTTCTGTTTGCAGAAAACTTCCCTTACTGGTCTAGTTGAGTTTTCGATTTCAAGCATTATGTGTTTCTGCAAAATAAACAATAAGTACTGGAAAGTAAAATAATTATTTTATAATAATTTAATCGTTTTATGCGAATAAAGCACCGTATGTATTGTCTTTTCTTGTATTGCAACAGCCTTGATGAATGACCGTCTTCTAAACTTGATACTCTTATATCCAGAAGCTGTCTGAGTCATGGAACAAAGAACTCTTATAAGGCCGGTGTTCATGGAGGTGATGATGGTGGTAGCAAAGAACATGATGATTATGATTATTAATCTCCCAATCAATTCCCATTTAACACTAAGTCATGAGGAGTAACCAGAAGCTTCTAATTAACCTTTGTACAGCTGTGCGCATCCAGTCAAACAAAAATTAGGGGAGGGATATTCCCAAACATGAATAACGACAGCACAACACAGATCTCCTTTTCCAGACTTATTACAAGGGAGGGGAACTGTAGTATGCATGCCAATTGTAGTCAGTAAGAAATTGTCAGCTAGTTACGGCAATATGTATATATTTTTCCTCCAGGTTCTATAATGTCTTGAAAAGAAAGAAAATGGCTACAAGTCAAGTAGGAATGTTTCGTAACGATGTTCTGTGGGGATATGATGTGACATTACTGATGGGGATAATAATTATCTTTACAGTGGTTCAGAGCAAGTGATGTACATGATTCCTTAAGCACATACAAACTATGTAAAGCAAAGCAAAGCTAATCTAAAAAAAAAATTAATGGATGAAGAAGAGTAGTTGATTATTTGCATAAGTTAAAGCAATACACATGCAAGATGGTGGAATACACATCAGGTAAACATACACGCGCCAGTGAAAGTTTCAAATGACTGAGTTATAAAAAATATAATAAACTAGTGTGTTTCATTGAAAACACTTTCGTGTAAACAAATAGAGCTGTTTGGGAAATTAAAGTAGTTGTAGTAACAGGTTCAAGCAAACATGAAATGACAGCATCAAAGACTTCATATATAAGAAAAATTGTACATAAACCGTTATGTTGGTCGGTCTCAAATATTATGTGTTCAGCGCCCTCAATTAATCGCCTTAAACAATCTTTGTTGAGTCGTGGCGTTGCAAACAAATTACAATTTTTTCGATTTCCGCTCCCTTCGTAAACATCACCATTATCATGATGAGCTAAACAAGCGTTATTCTATTCACGAGAGATAACTTGTTGATAACATTGCAAGATTATATGAAGTGAACAAATGTTTTCATATTTTGATTACGGACGCCTATTCTTAAAGGCACAGAAAATCAAAAAGGTGGAATGGCGAAAAAAAAAGACAGTCTTTAAAGGCAAAATTCTCATCCAGGCGAATGATTTCCAAATTGAAAAGGCACCGCATGTCGACGCAAAGTGACTATATTTTTACAACACAACAACCTGTATCGCTTCATGCTAATTACACTTCAAAATCCAACCAGTCTTCAGACTCGCTGGAAAAGTATCCTACAGAACTAGTCTTCTGTTTTCTCTGGAAACTATCGCTGTTTTTTACAATTCTGTAGGCGAGGGCGACTGAAGAATCACGATCACGCTCTGTATTGACGGTCAGCTAAAGTCAGTAAACAGCAAACAACTCTGAACAAAATGACTCCCCTGTACCGCTATTCGTTAAAACGTTGTTTTAGTATTAAACATCTATTCAAAGGATCAAATCTAACAAACAAGGAGAAGTATCATGGATATTTTCCGACTTAAAACCACGCAAAAAGACGATATTTTCCTCGAACTCACTCGACTAACACATCGAAGCGATTAGCAGCCTATAGTTGATGACCACTGACCATTGTGAAGTCACCAAAACGTATTTCCGCGTGTCATATATTATTTATATTATGTAAGAGAATTGATGTTGACCCCCTTGGGTTAACGTATTGGAAAGACAGTCAACCGGAAAAACAAAACAATGGGATTTGAAGTCAGTTCGGTTCTCAACAGTAGTGAAGATTAAGGTTTGCACTTTTCTTTACGTCTACTGCCTTAAAAAAAAACACAGGTATGGTTAGACAACTTCCTTTTTGCAAGGCATAATCAAATTTCTTAAATATTTTGACACTCTATGGGTACAAATATGCTCGACGTCACCATCATGAATGCTGATTTCTTTTCATGGCGCCTCGCAGAACGGACTTTGACAGGATTGAGGGACTGCCGGTTGTTTTTATATCAAATAGCCAGCGAGCTAACAGTGTGCTCGAGAGAGAGCGGCGAGAATTAAGCTTGGAGTCGAGCTGCTAGATTAGACGTTATGGTAGTTCCAATTCACAAAAGATAATCACAACCGGACTGAAAAGTGTTGTTGATCGTGTTATTGCGGCTACTGGTGAGTAATGTTTTTTCCTGCATGAGCACTGTTCTTCGAGTTGTTATGCAACTTTGAGCATTAATACGCTTGTAATTGGAGTAATTTCGTTCATGCGATACTTTATGCCTACGGTTTCCCTCATAACTTTCAGAGCATGCTCTGAACAGCCTATTTACACATGAAAGCGCGCGGTTACTTTACAAAATGGCTACCAAAACAACGAAGGAAAGAAGGAGATATGGCCGACGTTTTCTATCTTCCTTGCATTGTTATGACGGGCATGTTTTTTGCAGTGGTTTGGGGAATTAGACTAAATATTGCCTTTAAAACCTGCAAGATTTGCGCTCCAACATAGGGGTTTTGTTGAGTAATATTTGAAGAGATTACGAAAATTCAGACCCCCTAAAATCGATTCCGTCGAAATATAAACTCAAATTGTACCCAATCTGTCAAATTATCTCCTGTACGATCCTTTCCACCGAGTTTTAGGTCAGATTTAACGGCTGGGACTAAAAGTGGGACAGGGACGTAGGACGTGGGACTCGGGACGTGAAACTCGAAGACTCGGAGACGTGGGACTCGGGGACATGGGACTTAGGGACTCTGGGACGAGGGTCGTTTTTGGTCACGTTGACTGAAAAAAAAAAAAAACATGTTCGCACAATAGGCAAACGCACATGATAATATTCCTTCGCATTTCTTTGCCCGCGCATTTGCTGTCCGTCGTCGTTTATCCACTTTCGTTGCAGATTGCGGACTCAGTAAAAGGACGACGAGGATATATACTTTCGTCAACTTGCGACTTGCGACTTGCGATTAACTGTTTCGGTAGTAAGTAGGCCAGCATATTCGGCCGAACCATGGACGCGGGAAATCATCAGCTACCACTGACAAGCTTCTATAACTATAGCATGTAATACCTTTCTCGAGACCACCGAAAATTATACTTTACATATTCAAAGCAAAAATCAGGTGTTGTTTGTTTATCACGCATGCACCCGAGTCTTTGCGCGTCCATGAGTCCCGACTTCTTCGCGTCTCACGTCCCGGAGTCCCGGAGCCCCGGAGTCCCCGAGTCCTCAAGTCTCGGAGACCCCGAGACCCCGAGTCTCCGAGTCTCCGAGTCCCCGAGTCCCACGTCCCCGAGTACCACGTCCTATGTCCCAGCCCCCACGTCCTAGTCCCCACGTCCCTGTCCCCACGTCCCTGTCCCTCTGTTAAACGCAGCCAAATTTAAGGGTAAATTTAGGGGTCTTAGTTTTCGTAACTTCGAAAACTAAGACCCCTCTTACTTTTCGATCGTCATTACGAAAACTAAGACCCCCACCAAACCAATCTGTAAAATTCTACAAAGTCCAATCACGGCCGTATTACAACCAAAAACTAATATCGTACGCGTGCTAGACAATCCGCTTCTTCTAACAACTTGCAGACATATATAAGCATTGTGACTTTATAAGGAGGATGAAAGCCATAGACTACCAACGGTTAATTGTACACTGAAAATATGCCTTACCCTTGCTGGTCTATGATTTTAGTTGTTTATCCCTTAAAAAGTCATAAAATTGGTTTTCCACTGGAGCTAGATTTTTGTCTTCGTTGCGGGCTGACATGTCGCCGCGACCTGAATGCCTGAACGTCAAGTGGTCAGTTGCGTTATCGGTTAAATATCACACAAAAATACAGATTTTTTCTCCTTTCCTGGCCAGATCATAGGTAACATATTATTGTTAATTATTATTCCAGTCTGCGACGCCTCAAAGCAGCCTGTCTGTTCAGGTCGTTCAGCAAAAACATCGTCCTCTCTGATCATTTACTTCATTTGCAATACAAAACGGTGTCAAACCAGTGAAAAATAGTCCCCACATGGCGATGGAAAACCGATTTACATGTTATTTGGGTGAAATCAAGAATTAAAAGATCGTCAAAGGGTGAGTTATGCAGTTGTTCTTAATGTCAACGAAATGATATGCTAAATATCACGCTTCACTAACTTTTGAACATCACGACAATCGTAAATCTTAAATAGAGCTCATCTAGTTCAGTGATCAATGATTCTGCTCGAAATACGAACAGATGAAACCTAAAATGTTGTGGAATGTTCTTGAAAAGTATTCAGTTTGGAGAGAGTCCCTAAATACTTCACCTGGAATCCAATCTTTTACGTTATAAATTTAGCCAATATCTGCCTTTCGATTCTCTTATTACTGACCTTGAATCTTATTATGTTTATATTAAGTAATGCTCCGACAAGAAACACTGAATTGATACCGGTAAAAAAACGAAAATTTCCAACCTACGCAAGGTGAGTACTGAGTAGTTTTATTTAAATAATGGTTGAGTCTGAACTACTTTATTAGGTCCAGAAAGAATTTTTTTTAAAGAGGAGGGAGTCATATTTGGCGATTTTTTTTCACCGATCGCGATGAAAGCGATCGCCGGCGAAAATTGCAATCGCTGCACCGAGCGCCTTTTTATACACAATCGGCAAATAAAATCGCTAACTAAGTGTGTAGCTGGCTTCATACCATCTAAAACAATGTCATGTCGAAACTACAATACAGGCGCTGTACTTTAGAACTAAGTGATCTTTCGGATGAGGAGCAAGTGATTCAGGCAAGGTAAATTCTTTACATTCGTGGTTTCTCGCCCCTGCGTATTGAAATGTGATGATGCAAGATTATGAAAGTCAGACCCACATATTTCATACCTGTCACCTTTACCGACTGAAGAGAGAATCACAAGTAAAAATAAGGTGTCCTATAGCTCTAGATACTATCGGAATGTCGGTAGTTTGACTTTATTTCAAAATCGAACATACCTGTTTCTATTAGAGTGAGGAAAATTGAGGATCTATTTCTTTTAAGAGCGGAAACTTCAAGGGGGGTTCGGGTTGTTGACTATTTTAAAGATAGCTTAGCGCAAAGAATACTACAAAAATCCATTTGGGATGATGATAAATGCGACTCCAGTGCAAATACTTAAGTCTCTAAAAGAAGAGAAAATTTTCAGACCACTGAATCGTTAAAACAGATTTTGTGGAAATTTGATTGTCTATTAGAAAAGTAACGCGTAGGAAACTTGGACTTCCATGACAGTAGACTTGCTCAGGGGCGAAAAAAAAAGGGTGCTCTAGCGCACTAAACGAGAACTATGGATTGGTTGTTTGTTACATATGCTTATATATATTGTTTTAAGAAACGCGACCTAAAGACATGCGGAAAATAAGTAAAGTTATTCAGCATGGACCAGACAGTTTGTTTTCATGGTTCGTTTGCGTTTGCGCCTCTGTGTGTCAAGGATTGAACATTGGTTTTGCAGTTAGCTATGGGATATTGCTTCCTGAAGTTATGAAGGAGTTTGAGGAAAGCCGGCAAAAAACTGGTCAGTATAAAAATTTTCTTGAAAATATGATGTAAAATGCGTCACACAATCTGAGAGGCTTGCGTAGGATGATTCAGGCAACGATTCATCAACATCTAGTCTTGCATGATTCTATCCTCTCCTTTTGTGAAATTCTGGTGTCTTTCAATCAAAAGAGTGAATTTACGTTACACTTGTTTCACAGTTACTCTTTGCCATACTTCTATTAAAGTAGCTGGAGTGGATGGCGTTTGGAAAGCGAAAGATCGTAGCACTCAATGTACAAGTTTGGTCGATTTTTTTCAATCCTTTTTTTACCCTACCATGCATACACCCGAATTTAAATTCAAGTTCTCAATTTTTCTTCTGAAAAAATTGTGAATCTAACTGATCTACAATTGACCGACATTCAATTCCAGTTTGGGTCGGATCTCTTGCATTTGGATTGACATTTTTCCTTGGTCCACTGACGTCGTTTGTCTGCCAAACGATTGGATGTCGCTTCCCCGCCATACTTGGATGCCTTCTGTGTGGTACAAGCTTTTTCCTAACTGCTCACGCGACCAGTCTTCAGTGGATGTTTCACACATATGGCTGTTTGTATGGTCTGGGTTCTTCATTACTATTTGCGTCTTACTTTCTCATAACAGCAAAGAACTTTATTAAGTGGCGGTTTCTCGCAGTGGGGATCGTTTCAGTCGGCGGCAGCATTGGAGTCTTAATCCTAGGCCCAGTCCTCCAGCTCCTAATAGACAATCTGGGTTGGAGAGGAACATACAGGATGATGAGTATACCGTTTTTTGTGATGGCGTGTATTTGCGGTGCTACATTTGGTCATCCTGTTGACAACTTTTCGAAACCCGTAGAGTCTGCCATGTTTCTGATGGAAATAGATACAATGAAGAAAGATTTTGAAATTTCAGTAAATGAGACACATCGAAGGAACGCCTATTTACAAACAAAGAGAGATTCCATTAATAAAGATCGCTATCAAGGGGAGCAAAACTTTCATCCAACTAGATCTATGCAAGCCGAGGAACTCAAAGCTAGGTACCTTGAGAAGAAGAACAGTGAGAATTCAAGTGAGATGAGAACACTACGAAAGCTGCTGGACTTGTCTGTATTCAAGGTTCCTTCTTACACTGTAGCGATGATAAGTCTTCTGTTAATGAATTTTGGACATTTTGTACCTCAATTATACTTAGTAAGTAGTCTGTACTGATCCTTGCCAATCATACCACAGCAAAGTTCAAACTCGTTATACGTTTTTATTACACGACTCGGGCAGTCAGAGGGCCAATAACTAAAATCAACCAATCAAAATGCTCTTTTGCCGGTCAATATTCTCTCAGTATTGGACCGGGCACTGTCCCGAATAGTCCCGAATGATACCGCACTTCTGTCCCTTTGAAATTCAGTCGTATAATAAATCTCTTATTAACCAAGCTTGCTCGGGACCGTACTTGAAGAATATAGGCCCTCGGTCTTTTTTGTACGGACCTCGCTGCGCTCGGTCCGTACTGTCAAGACCTCGTGCCGATATTCTCCCAGTACGGCCCTCGCGCTTGGTTAATAAGATATATGTATTCACGTCACTCAACAATTCAGACACAAAGACCTGATTATAAATAGACAAGGTCTTCCTATTTCNATGAAAAAAAAAAATCTTTTTGCCTTCCTTTGCCTCTGATGTGGTTGTAGGGTCAGTCCAGTTCCTTCACCTTTTCATTTACATAGTCACAAAGAGAAAAACTGACTAATTAGATATTAATCCATACAATAACTATATGGGACACAAAGAAACAAGCGAAGGTCAGCTAGATTTTCTTTAGAGCAATCCCTGACATTTTGATTCGATTGACATTGCAAGATGTAACAATGAACTTAAAGTTTCCCAGAATATTTCACTAACATCTTTTTACTCTTGGCGCGCAGGTAAAATATTGCCTGGACCTTGGCATATCTGCTGATTCAGCCTCCAAGCTTTTTATTCTTCTTGGTCTATCATCCTCCGTTGCCCGTGTTATAACTGGGAGAATGTGTGACGTAAAATGGATAAATGTGATTTATATTTACCAGTTTGGAGACCTGCTTATCGGACTTGTTATCATTTCCCTCCCATTGATAAAAAGCTATTCAGGACTTCAAGTTTTTTCGGTATTTTACGGCGTTGGGGACGGTATATTTACCACGACAATGAACTCCCTCCTTGTGTTTAGTGTGGACGAAGAGCGCCGAGCGGCTGGATTGGGTCTGGGTAATATGTTACTGTCGTTAGGGATAGTAGCCGGACCTCCCTTTGCAGGTTTGAGAGCCATGATTATTGATAAAATATACCTTAACGTTAAAATCCAAGCTTTAAAATTTCTCCCTTGCTGTAGTTCGAAGAACATAGAAGCTTCCATTACGCATGTAGAAGCATGAGAGCGCATGCTTTTGAAGTTATCGAAGTGTTCGTATCAAGTTGGATGAAAAACGCTTGCCCATCTTTGGGCAATTTGTAAAATCGTACCAATCAAAGTTGCGGACGCTTCCTTATTATTGTACTTTCAAAATATCCATGTTACTTGCTTAATAAGGTTGGTATCATTTATTGGTGGATGACGAATTGGAAAACTAGGCCCTTTGACGTTCACAGACCCTATTTATTTATCAATATATTGCTTCTTTCTCCAGGATTCTTGGTGGATATGTCTGACTGCTACACCTGGGCATTTTTTATGGCTGGTATTGTGACACAATTAGCTGGTCTGATGCCGTTGGTTCTGTTCTGCTTTAAAAATAAGAAAGCCTGTGGCCCTAAGGAATATGAAATCCGAGAAACGCGCTTGTAACTAAACTAAATATTAGAAATTTTTACCTTGTAGTGGTATCCGGTCGTTTCGTACCCAAATGCAGTCGATTCCTACCCAAGTTTGAGTCAGTACGGACCCAAACCGCTGATCGACTCATTCATTTATTCGAAATGCCTCACGTTCCAGCGCGTGAACAGATGTCAGTCGTTTCATACGACAACTTAGAAGAGTCGAGCGAGCGAAATACAAACAAAAAATCTGTTGTGTATACTTCTGACCTTCTTGACATAAACAACTTAATTATTGCCTCGCGCAAGGCAGGTGTGCTATTTTGATAGAGAAGTCTATTGTTTATACTTGTAACTTTTTAAACAATAATTAACAATTATTCTTTGAAATCGAGGTGAATAGTGGCTAAATATTCCCGAAAGCCACTATTCAGGGAGATTGAAAATAATAATTTTTTAGTATATACACACGAAGTGATCTGGACAAAATTAAAAGGAAGCCATTTAAAGACAATTTTTGCTTCTGAAACTTTAGCGAAACGCGAGTTTACGCCCGCTATTTTGTTTTTCACATTATCCACTCGCTCGGAGGTGTGCATTGTTGATTAGCCCAGGATAGCGAACCAATCAGATCGCTTGAAACGCCAAGATCACTGAGTTTTAATAACAGCTCGTGTACGCGTGATCTTTTTTTCCTTATTTTAACATACAATTAAACGTAATTTATTAGTTTGAGTACGAAACAACCTTGGCTTTGAAGCGACTGCGTACTAAACGACTGGTACGAATCGACGAGTAATCCGTTTAGTGTTTCTCCCAGAAATAAAATCCTCAAATATTGAACTAATTTGTAAGTAGGTAATTTTGGTTTTATCAACTGAGTTGATACAGTAAACTGGCCACCGTTAAGAGTTTCAAAGCTGACGTTTCGAGCTTTAGCCTTTCGTCAAGCGAATGAAAGAACTGTGGGTTGGGCGTGTTTATAATCAGAAAATAGAGCAACGCTATTGGTAGGAACATGGTAACGAGAAAAAAAAGTTGGTTGAATGAAAAGCATTCGTTGATACGGAGGGGATTAAGAGTACCGATTTAAAAAAACTTTTTTTCTAGAGTTTTGCAGCCGCAGACGGCCATATGCTGCTTAGAATGATTGGGCAGATTAAAGTGAAAAGAAACACAGAACAGAGCATAGTGACAGTGTCATGTGATGACATCATGCAAGCACCTGGCGAAAACGAGTAGGGGTTCGGGAAAAAATGAGAACAATTAAAGAAACCAGTATGATTTAAGAATTTGTATATATTTGTTAGAAAGCATGCGTGAAAGCGGCATTCTTTACGGTATTTGGCTAAGCTTTGCGTCTTCAAGTTTCCCTAGTTCATCGTAACTCTTGATTGACGTCAAAGAGAAAGCGACAAAAGCATTATATAGAGCGCGAACTGACATAACTAAGTGTTCCATTACTTTTGAAATAAAACAGTTCTTTTGGTCATTTATTTTTTGTTTTGCTTTTTGCATTATGCACTGTATACCATCCCAGGCCCGTTCTGAGTGCTTCAAGAGAGTAAAGAATACAACGCAGAACTTGATGGATATAGAAAATTCTAATAAAACATTCTTAATTTTATGAGAGTTCTCTTTAAGAGGTTTTTGGCTAAGAGGTCATATTACAGCACGCGACTCTCCTCGTTCTCTTAGACCTGAGTGCTGCATTCTACACTGAGGACCCTAGTATTTTGCTAACACGTTTAAGATCAAAGCTTGGTCTCAATGGAACTGCTCTGGCGTGGTTTCGCTCTTATCTAGCCGGAAGATCACAACGAATATCTGTTCAGGGAGCGCTTTCAAATGTCTTTCATCTTCGCTACGGCGTTCCCCAGGGATCGTGTCTAGGCCCCGTTTTGTTTAACATATACTCAAGCAAAATCTTCGACATTGTTGGTCGTCACCTTCCAAAACTTCATTGTTATGCAGATGACTCCCAGCTTTATTTATCGTTCAACCCAAGCTGTGCTGTTGGTCAAGACGAGGCAATTAGATCAATGGAAACCTGTATCTCGGATGTTAAGCAGTGGATGACCACGGACAAACTTATGCTTAATGACGACAAAACTGAATTTATTGTAATAGCATCACGACACTTCCTGAAAAAAG